AAATCCATGAGAGAAATTATGTCTCTATGTTTCCAAATAAAGGAGTATAACTTGTTTTCCCCAAACTAAAAAAGGAATACCCTATTGACAGTAATATGAATTACTCACATTGGTTTAGGATTGCCATTAATTTGACTGAACTGAACTGAAACAATGTTTCAGTTGTTACCTTATCCCACCCTACTCTTCATGTCAACTGTGCTAATTTAGCTGATTGAAGGTACTAGATGGAAAATATTCATTACTAATTGTTCATGCTTCAAGGTGAAGATGACATTCATAATCTGGGGTATTTGGTAGGGTTCTGGGGAATGTAGGTGACTGCTAAAGCCAATTTGTGCTCTGAAGGTTATGTTGCAAATAGAACAGGGGTAATATATAACAATGAATTTTGTACAAGTTTCTGGGTTGGGATTTTCTCTCTGCCTCTGATTCGGCATTTGCTTTTGACAGAGACCACATCAGTTTTTATTTTGTTCCAGCAGATGTAGTGGTCCTGAACAAGCTTCTCCGAGGACACTGAGTCAGCATCAGAACTCCTGATGAAACCATCAGTCTGTCTTAACTGTGTGATCTCCATGAGAGCACACCCCAGACTCAAGTTCTCCACAAAGATTTGTTTTGGTGAGGAAGTGTAGAGCATTCTAGTTACATGAATAGCCCAGTTCAGTTGTGACTGCCTCAACAGAGTGTGGATGGTGGTATGTCAGCTTGAGTGAGTATCTCAGTGTCTAGTATTTTGTCTGCCATCTCACCCTCAGAAGCTTTTGTAGGCAGTTCAAGAAAGTGGGTGAGCTTGGTATGACACAGTCATATTCAATGTATAGCACAGAATTAGCAGGACTGTTGCAGTACAGACTTGTACTTAATAACAGCTTGGAGTTTGTTCTGAAAGTTATCTCGACTCTTGAAGTTTAGAAGTTATCGGTCTGATTTAGATTATATGAAGGATTACTTTATTGCTGTTAAAGTGCTGGAATATCAGTATCAGCTTATCCCATGGACAAACAACATGACGTTAGTTGAAGGAGTGCTGAAGCTCATTGCAGTTAAACTATTTAGGATTGATGCATTGCCATTTGCTTTCACAGACACACTTTTTCTTGAGACTATTAGGATGATTGGTGTACAAACAGTTCCTCTCACAGCAAATATTAAATATTGATTGACATTAAGTCCAACTCTGCAAAGCCCTTGCTGTAAAGTTGTTTAATGATGCAGCTAAAATATGTACTGTTGCACTAGTGATGAATGAGAAAGATATCATTTGCTTTGCCAGTGATGAATTGCATTTTCTGTGTATTGGTTGAAGTTCTGTCATCCATTTTCGGCTCTTCCAGGTCCAAATCAGAGTTTTGTTATATATAAGTGAGGGTGAAATCAGGTTTTTAATTGATGAAATACTTCTAAAAATGTTTTTTATTTCAAAACATTTACTTTATTTAATGCACTTCCAAAAAGTATAAGAAGTGTCATGTTGGCAGGTATTTAGTTTCAGTGCAGCTCTTCAGGAATTTTTTCAGGAATTCAATCATTTTAGGAGCAGAAATATAAAAACAAAGTAAATTTCTGGAGTTCAATTTATTGGAACACTTTTTTCATAATGATTTATAACACATTAAACTACGACAATAGGTGACTTCAAGCTGTTAAATTTTACACAGGTAGTGGTTGTGGCAATGCTGAAAGTAATAGCTGTTTTGATAACTATTATAGCTATCCATCAGAACCAACTATGTGTTGTCATCGTATCGAAAAGATGGTTCAGTGAAAATAATCATAAACTTTCAAAAAAAGCTCAATAGAACAATGATAGAGGACCATTTGCGAGTATAATCTGATGACTTAAAGAAGTGTTACTTCAAAAAACTGAAATGTTGATTGACTTTTAAACCTCTCCAAAATGTTGCTAAATCAGGAGTTCCCCATTTTAGAAGTGGCTGATTGAGCATTACGACCTGACAATGTGATGAAAAAGCTGGTAGTTCAAATTTCAGTAAACAATCAGTCTCCGGATCACAACCTTTTGATGCAGTCAATTACAGGTCAAGAATCTGATTTTTGAAACCGATTGCATGCAACTGCAGTTCCAAGATTTGTTCCTCTATCTGAACCCATACAAATGATTTTGAAATATAAAATACACAATTTGATTTAGTAAATATAGATCAATCTATTTTGTATTTAGAAATCTGTTTCATTTATATATGCATTGTGCACTGCTGCTTTTAAGTGGTGAAAGATTTGTGCCTGGATTTTTTAATTCATTCATGGGATGTGGGTTGCGCTGGTTGGGCCAGCATTTATTACCCATTACTACTTGCCCAGAAAAGTGTTAACCACATTGCTGTGGGTCTGGAGTCGTATGTAGGCCAGAACAGGTAAGGACAGCAGATTCCTTCCATAAAGGAGATTAGTGAACTAGACTGGCTTTTCCTTGACAACCAGCAATGGTTTCATGGTCATCATTAGATTCTTAATTCTAGATATTTATTGAATTCAAATTCCAGTTTTGAACCCAGGTCATCAGGACATTACCAGCGTCTCCACATTAATACTCTAGCGATAATACCACTAGGCGATTGTCTGCTCTTTACCATCAGTAATATTCCATTTAGTTACGCGATACATTCAAGTGTCCCATCATAAATTAAATTTCAAATGAACTATTCGCATTTCCCAATGCAGTAATAGATCAATCTCTCCGTACTTTATTCCACATTTACGCATTTTTCCCTTCGTCTTTGAAAATGGTGCAAAAAGAACAGCCTTGACCTTGGACAACAAGGTGCAGAGCTGGATGAACACAGCAGGCGAAGCAGCATCATGGGAGCAGAAAGGCTGACGTTTCGGGCCTAGACCCTTCATCAGGGCCTTGACCTTGGATCTGGAATAGACAGTTAAGCCTATCCTAACTCCTACTTCTTTTGTTCTTTAACATTTTTTTAAAATTCTCATATATAATTATCTGTTAACCTGAAATGGCCAACCCCTTATATTGAGCTCCTGCTGTGGAGGTGCTGGTGTTGGACTGGGTTGGACAAGGTCAGAAGTCACACGACACCAGATTATATTCCAACAGGTTTATTTGAAATCACAAGCTTTCCGAATGCTGTTCCTTTGTCAGGTGAAGTCACTTCACCTGACAAAGGAGCAGCACTCTGAAAGCTTGTGATTTCAAATAAACTTATTGGAATATAATCTGGTGTCATGTGACTTCTGACCTTGAGACTCTGAGTTAAGGACTCTCCTGCCAAGGAAAATAGCCTCTTAGGATGTACCCTGTCAATTTATTTTTAATCAACCTGTTCAGACACGCTATAACACACTTCCTGACAGTTGGGATTTGAACCCAGACCTTCTGGCCAAAAGGTAGTGATACTGCCATTGAGCACAAAAGAGCCCCATCTACCTTGTCCACTTACCAGAATGGAACAGAATTGAATACCGAAATGGGTCATTAAGCTGTTTGCCTCCGTCAATCTTTCCTCACCTAAATCTACCACTGTAACCCTCCAATCTCTTACCCTCAAACGCTCATCTAGCTTCCCCTTAAATGTATATAAACTAGGTATTTCACCTATTCCTCATAGTACAACATGCCACATTCTTACCACTCTATAGGTAAAATAAGTTTCTTCTGAATTCTGTTTCGGATATTTTAGTGCCCATCTTATATCCAGGTCTTCTGGGTATGTTCGTTCTCCCAAGTGGAAACCTTCCCTGTCTATCCATTCTATTTAAATCTAAAGTTTTCATAATTTTTAAAGACCTATATTAGATCAACCACCAGCTGTCTTTTTCTCAAAAGAGACACAGTCTGTCGATCCTTTCCTGATATGTATGCCCATGAGTTTCTGGTATCATTCTTGTAAATCTTCCCTGCTCATTCTCCAGTGCCTGTATATCCCTTTTATAAAATGCAAGCAGTTCAAAAAATTGGCAAGTAAAGTTCACTGCCCATTCTGCAGGTTTATTAATGTCCTTCATTAATTTGTTGCAAGTCTCTTTTTTTTTTACTGACTATTCCTTCACTCTCCCTCAAAACTTGGTGTCAGCCACAAGTTTAAAAACATGAGTCTTTATTTCCAAAGTTCAAATCACTTGGGATTGGCTACAAAACAAACTTCATATTTAACAAGATTACCAGTAACCTAAATGGCATGTTAGGCATGTTAAAATATTCTGATATTATAATGTCTGTGACTTCCAATATGTGGGTGTTACATAGTGAAAACATCGGCAAACGTGAATTTGTTGGGTTCTTCACAGCCAATGGCAATCGAGTCCTCTCTTTTCATGCTGAATACAGATTATGTACTGAGCGAGTTCGTCATCAACTCCATAATCATATTTTCCTTGTTGGGAGAAAGAAGAATTAGAAGTAAAATATTTGTACTTTGAGTGTATCTCTATAGCAAGCAAAGACAGTTTGTAATAATTCAGAGGTCAGTTTGGCACCACTCACTAAGAGAATAGAAGCAGCTTTAGATGCTTGTGGTTGATCAATTTGGGTGCATCTAAATAACACACGTGTCTTTCCTTTTCTTGGCCTTTCCATATCTGTATTCCCTTAAAATTTGTGTTCAATAATTGCAAGCATAATTCACACATGTAATATATAGCTAATGCATTGCGGAGGCCCACTGATGTAAAACGGTGATTATCAGTGGATTAAGTGATTTTCTTAGGGTGTTAGGAAACTTGATCAAAATATAGAGAGTATAATTGGAAATCAAATGTCTTATTAAGAAAATTACAATGTGAATTGAGCCTGTATTTATTTTGAGAAACGCTAAAAGTGAAGTCAATATTGCAATTTCAATTAAATGCAAGTGCATAGCTCCCTAATCCATTTTCAACATCTCCAGGAACTTACCCTCAGCTGAATTGCCCAGTCGCAGATCAACTGGTCTCTACCAAGATCATGACATAGATTGTCTGTTGGTTTATGTTTTAGATAATTTATGTCATAAACTTCTTCTTTTTTTCTTTTCAAGCAGTGAAGAACTTACAAAATTTTTGATAAAGCTGAAGAAACACTGTGGTCATTTAAAGTTAACAGTTCAGAATGTGGCTAACCAATTATCAACCAATTCAGAACTGGTATGTTTCAGAGGAAATATTCTATTCTCCTTTACCACCGTAAAATCTACATTATTTTGATATTTCAGAAAACTGAACAACTCTATGTTGCCAACTAAATATACCTTTTTCAATACGTTGACTAATGTTAAAATACTTAAAACTTTTTAATTTTTAGGAAAGAACTCAGACTTTATGTTCACAGCTTTACATTAATGCTGAAAAGGTTAATATTGTTCCACTATATCAAGTTTTTTTCATCCAATTCTTAATCCTCTTCTTCTGAAGATGGAAGGCAACTCAAGCTAATTTATAGCCCATGAACATCAGCAGTCTGTGGTTCCTAGCCAAAGGGATCATGTTCGGGCTGGTTGGATATTCCACCTTGGCTATTCCATAGCTGAACCCCAATCTCATTTTTTTCCATCATCTGTACACAAATTATTGTCAAAATCACTGAATGGATCTTCTGGATTTCTCCCCCATCCCCCCCCCACCCCATCAACTACCCATCTGGGTTGAGTTCTTAAAAATGTACAGAAATTAACTTATTACTCATTTGGCATCTCAATAATGGGTTAGCTGGTTAGCCCAAGTGGCTGGATAGCTAGCATGTGGTTCAGATTGGTGCCGAGGATCCTTAGCTTCTGCTACTTGCCTCTGAACCGGGAGGCCCGCATTCAAGTCCCACCTGCTCCACAGCTGTGTCATAATGCCTCTGAACAGATTAGTTAGAAAGAATCTGGGATTCAATCCATGTTCTGGCTGAGGTAAATTCAGGACCTGCTTCCTTGTCCTACGAGTTGGAAAAACCATCACGTTTTGCCATAGTTTGTTGATCAAAACCTGAAGACTTGTCTTTGGTCCAAAAATTAAAGATCTTGATAATTACATAAAAATTTATGGCAGCACTTGGCAACTTGTAACAATATTCTGTAAAACTTACACAAAAAGTAACTAGTGAGCCTATTGCAAAATAGCTAGTGTTAAATGTTTCTCTGAGGAAAACTTTCATTTTGTTGGTATGATATCAGATTTCTTGGCACTCAACTTGAAGAACAAGCCAAAGATTTGATACTTTTTCCACTGGTTATTTTGTACCAGTAATTTCAGTTTGCATCTATGTTTATCTACCTGTTTTCAGAGAGTACTGGATGTGGACCCTGACCAAAAGTCTGCTTTGGCCTGTGATGACCTGGTTAAATGTATTCAGGATCTGGATAAAGAAGTGCAAAGGTTGAGAAATCTTCTTCTGAAGGTAAAGGAACATGATAAGGCACTTGTGCAGTTTTAAATCAGTAGATTTTAACAGTGCTTATAAAACATTTTTTTAAGTAGAATTTTCCCTACGTCCTTGTAAAAGACTGTAGATCAGATATAATGTGAATAACACTTGAGTGGTGACAGAGATGCGAGGGTAGAGAGGTCAAGGCTGTATGTTAACACCACATCAGTCATTTAGGAACTAACAACATATTGACAGGCATTTGGCAGAAAGTGTCACTTGAAAGTAATTGACTGTTGGAGTGGGAATAAATTTAGAGATGCAGCAAATGGAGTATTAGTGTCAGCAGAGAATCTGTTACTGAATGAAGCCATGTGGAGATCTAGTAATTAATATGAAAAAAAACCTGACAAAGAGTTAATATTTACCTTTAATATATAACGTTACATGTGCAAACATCCTGACATTTAAAGGGGCCATATATATGAAATATTTTATGTAAAATTTATAAGTTACTTGCTTGAAAACTTCTTTTTCTTTATTCATTCATGGGGTGAGGGCATCACTGGCTAGGCAGCATTTATTGCCCATCCCTGATTGCTCAGAGGGCAGTTAAGAGTCAACCACATCGCTGTGGGTCTGGATTCACATGTAGGCCAGACTAGGTAAGGATGGCAGTTAACTTCCCTAAAGGACATTAGTGAACCCGATGGGTTTTTCCTGACAATCGACAATGGATTCATGGTCATCAGTAGATTCTTAATTCCAGATTTTTTTTTAAATTGAGTTCAAGTTCCACCATCTGCCGCGGCAGGATTTGAACCCGGGTCCTCAGAATGTTATCTGGGTCTCTGGATTAACAGATCAGTGATAATACCACTAGGCCATCGCCTCACTATCAACTCTTGAAAAGTCTTTTAATTTAGCCATACAGGCATTTTTGTTTAATTGTAATATTATGTTTCCATTACAGTACTCAAAAAGACAACTCAAGTTGGCAAACCTAGTTGAGTAGAACTTAAGATCACCTGTGTAAATTAGAAAATATCAGCGATGCACTGCTAATGTCACCTCTGCTGTTTAAAATTAGTCATCCAAAGGGGTTGAGCAGTGCAGGACAATACATTGTGAGGGAATGTTTTTGCTAGTTGTTAAGTATAAAATCAAGATCCATCAGTAATTAGAAACAAAAACAGAAATTGTCATAAAGGCTCAGCAAGTCTGGCAGTTTCTGTGAAGAGAAATCAGAGTTAGTGTTTCGGATCCAGTGATCCTTCCTCAGAACTGAGGAAGTTCCCCAGTTCTGAGGAAGGGTCACTGGACCCGAAACATTAACTCTGATTTCTCTCCACAGATTCTGTCAGACCTGCTGAGCTATTACAGCAAGTTCTATTTTTGTTTCTGATTTCCAGCATCAATAGTTCTTTCACTTTCCATCAATAATTATCCTGATCAGCCTTCATAGTACTAGTAAGGCTAATGAGTCAGATGGAAGATAGTAAATATTAAAAATGTTTGAAATGATCCAAGGCTGAACCATGGATTGCCCTATTCTCTCCTTTCACTTCTGAAAATAATGGGGACACTTGGGATTTTTAAATCAGATATTGGAGATCACTAAAGCACTCAGCATATCACCTGGGCAATGGAACTGGAAGCTGCTATCAGGAATCCTGAGCTATACGCAAGCACATTCACTGGCTTACCAATAGGAATCCACTGGGAAGAATAAGTATCAATGCTTTAGTCAAATCAAGAACATGGCATTTCAGATGCTCCAAATTTAAGGTTGCTGTTCTATTAGTGATTGTGAAAATATTATTTGGCTACATGGTTTCAACATATCTCACATTTCCATGCTTAAACTGAAGTGAGAAGAGAGGTATGTTTTCTATTACCACTCCTTTCCAGACATTGCTTGTATGAGGATCTTCCTCCTTCCCAGTGGATAAGTCTTTTGAAATGGTCATTCTGATTATAAATTGTTGAAGTTACGTTTTCTAAGCTGAATGTCCGTCATCTTCAGGCATACCTTTGAAGGAGCACCGCATCACTTTCAACAGTTGAACAGGAATTTGCGGCAGAGTAACTTTCTTGAAGCTTTACCTCTTCCTAAGCTTCTTTACACCATGTGGGTTACAAAATATCAACATGAGTTAATAAACACACCTTTACAGGCATTATAGCTTTGACTGTGGTTCTCTGAGAATTTTCATTTTTTTAAGCTTAAAATCAGTAATTTAGTTCTTCTGTTAAAAGCTAGGAGTTATTATCATTTTGGTTTTGGATGGTGGTTGCTGATTGAATTCAAAATTAATTTCATCCCAAAATCAAATTAGTTCAATTATTTAAATTGTAAATAGGCTTTCTGCATCAAAATAAATTTGACAAAAGCAATGTGTAAATTTGTACAATGGTATTTTGTAGTCCCTGAACTGAGAACAGACACAAGAATAAAGGTCCAAATGGATTCCAGACCAGGATCATTTGGGGGTTTTGATTTGAAATTTCTTCTCATGTATATGGAGTTCCCCTCTTTCATAGCAGCAAGGCTGAAGTGGCAATCTGTGATATTGCCACCTCCTTGGAAAATCCAGCCCAAAGTTTCATCCTCTTGCTTTGTCTCTATTTTGTTGTCTGGCGCTACCACTGCACAAAATGGAATTAATCTAGAATAGGTTTAGCAGCTCAAATCTGGGCATTTAGGAGACACTCTAGGTCATCTTCAGGTGCAGAATTGTATTCCACCAGAATCTGTAATTTCATAGCCTACCATATCCCTGACTTTACCATTCCTATTTAATCAAGCAAGTATCCCTGATGCATGCCAGGAGCAATGTTTTCTCAAATTTCTCTTTGCTGTGAACAGCTTGTTTGCTGCATTGTCCCTTTTAGATTGCTGTGTAGCTATGTGTGCACACATCTTAAGGAAAATAGTCATTAATAAGGCCTGTTTGTTTCCTGTGAAGCACATTTCACATTGTTGTGTGACAACAGACCTATGCAGATCAGAGACATTGGCCAGAAGCAACCAAAAGTGAGATTCCAATCTGGTGATACTGCATGCTAATTAACAGAACCAGCATGTTATTGACAGATCTAAGTGATCCCATAATCAACAAATCGGAGTGACCCATAATCAGCAGATCAGATCAAAGTTCTCCCACCATCATATTCAAATGTGGATGGTGGTGAATGATTAAATGACCAATATTGGGAGGAGGTTCTATGAACATCCAGATCCTCAATGATGGCAGAGAGACCAGCATGAGAGTGTAAAAAAACCAGGTTGAAATATTTCCCAGCCCTGTCAGCAACACTGATGTCCTGTGAATAAAAAAATTTAAAAATACAACAGCTAACATGAACATAAGTCAGTTGCCTCAAGCCTCAAGGCCACATGATTTATTTTTAGTGAATTTGATTGAGGTATAAATATGGGCTAGGATCAGGAATAAACTCCTCTCTGCATCTTTAAAACATTGCCTTAGGATCTCTTACACCCACCTGAAAAAGCAAATGGAGCTCTGGATTAATGCATTTTCAAAAGGATGGCACCTCCAACAATGCATTACTGCAGTGGCAACTCCACTTACATTTTTCTGATTAAATCTCTCTATTGTGATTTTGACTGGAACAAAAGTTGAGCCATGGCTAACACCTGCAAGATTTTTCAAAATAATATGCTTCATTTTGTACTTAGGCTACATTTCTGTGCCTTTAAATTTAAAATGAGTTTTAATGACTGCCAATCTGAGAGAGGTTTCAGAGCACAGTATGGAACTACAATTAATCCATATAGATTAAAAAGTTAATGAACAGACAGCTAAGTTAGTTCAATTGGCAGGCAGTAGCACAGGAGAGGAATACTGCTACAGATGTTGAATCATCAAATTGCAATCAGTTACCAATGGTGGGAAATCAAATGGCTACAAGCAGGAAAGCATTTGCACCGTTAATGTAATTTCTTAGCTGTGCATCATGTATTTTAACTACTATTCCCAGGATCCAAATTTTTGTTTATTTCTAACTGCTGGGCAGTATGCACATACCATTGATGATTCATGTGGATAAATCGGTCGAGCAGTTAGGCAAGCTATCAATGCTGAAGAGTTCTGTTGTGAAATTTTGACATTTTCACCATTCTTTCTTAGTTCCAGTGATGAGCAGGAAAGAAGTATTCATTGTTTTTTAAAAACATCTGTCCATTGGCTAAATAATTCCAGGATGCGTAGCATTTAGACAGGGTGGAAAAGGGAATGTTAGCCCTGATAGAAAAGGATGGGAAGTATAATAATGAGGAAAAAAAATCAGCTCAAGATTGGAGTGTACATTCGGTATAGTTGGTAATCAGAAAAAAAGCTGCTCGTAACAGTTTATAGCCCCCACTAACAATAGTTATACCACTGGATGGGCATTGAGCATCAGGCATTTGGAGCTTATGAGAAACACAATGTGGTAAGGATGAAGGACCTTATTATTCTTCTTCTAGACAGAACAAATCGAATTGCAAAATTAGTCAGAAAGCCTTTTATTTAAGAATGCCTTTGTATCTAGTGTTGTACTGTGTTTTAATTAGTAACCTGATAGTAAAAGATTCTCTGAAGACATGTGATTATAATATTCCATTCTATATTAGGTTTGATAATGGTTAGCTCCACTCCCAAACAAAAATCGTAAAGCTAATTATGTCAATGTAAGGGGTGAGCTGGTTGAAGTTGGTTGGATAAATAGATTAAAAGGTAAATGTAGCATTGTGATAAATGAACAGTGGGAAACATTTAAAGAAGTAATTCACCATATTCTATTAAAAAAAATCTCAACAAGAAGGATCCCTCCATGGATTGGTGGGCAAGTTCAGTACGGTATTATGTTAGAAGAGGATTATAATATTGTAAAGAAGAGATCTATGCCTAATAATTGCTAAGAGAATTGGGAAAGTTTTAAAACGAGCAAAGACAATCAAGTTAATAACGGAAGAAAGTTGGAATATGACAGCAAACTATAAATGAACATAAAACTAGATTATTAGAGCTTTTACAAATATATAGCTAAAGGAAATGTTGGTCCCTTAGTCACAGAGACAGGTGTAGTTATCATGAGGAAATGGCAGAAGTATTGTACAAATATTTTGTCAGTCTTCAAAGTTGGAAGTACAAATTACTTAGCAGAAATAGAAGGTAACAAAGAGGCTAATAAGGTGTCAAACTTAATAGCAATTGAGAAGATGTATTGGCAAACCCTAAATCATTTAAAACCACCAAATTCCTAGCATTTGATTGTCTATGTTCCCAGGTTGGAAAGCTGGAGCTGCAGAGATAGTGAATACAGTGATTATGATTTTCCAAAATTTCCTGGATTCTTGAATGGTCTCAGCAGACTAAAATGAAAGTTAACAACTGTAGTGGCTGCAAGTGAGTCAGCCTGACATCAATTGTCTAGAAAATTCTGAAATCCGTTATTGAACTTGTGATGCAGTTAAAACAATCATGATATGATTCAATAGGTTCAACATGGTTTTACAAGAGGAAAATCATATTTGACAAATTTATTAGTGTTCTGTATCTTTGTTATCCTCTGAGGTAGAGAATTCCATTCTCCATCATTCAATCTATTTAAGGATGAAGAAGCCAGATTTTTGTTCTCTTGAAATTGAGGGATATTGTGAGCAGATGAGAAAATAGAATTGAGGCGAGATCTGCAGTGTTCAAAGCCAAAAGTGTTCAAGTTGTACTATGACTCACGTGTTAGTATTACTACCAACCCTATGTTCCAAGGATGAATTTTTTTCAATAATTTCTTCCGCTCATAATCCTAAGGAGTTATTTTTTATTTTGGTCAGATTATGGTAATAAACATAAATGTATTGTAACGTTCAAAAATCACTGACAGTGACTAAACATTATTTTTAGAATTTGACAAGTTGGTTTTTGACCTTCTGCTATTCTCATGCTTTATTCATCATAAAATTTTGATGATGAGGGTGAAAATCTTCTAAGTTGGTTTGCTTTTAGCTATTGACTTCTAATTTGACATCCAAGTAAATTAACTGTTCACTTCACATTAAAATAATTTACATAAATTAAAATGATTCAATTTCTTACATGATGGAGAGATTCTTAATGTGTGACAGCAGGCTGAACCATAGCTTATTATTTCTTTGCAATTGACATTGATTTGAGTAATCACCTGTTAATACAGTATGACTCAATGCAATTAGCTGTCCACTTCAAAGATAACAGAATTCTACTTCATTTATATTCACTGCACTTTATGGATCAGCAAATGAATACTTGGAGCATATTTATCATATAGTTACATTTGTCGCAATTATCATGATTGAGATTATATTTTGGGACTGTGTCTTTACATTAAAGCTAAATAAAGGAGTCAAGTGACCTGTTCTGCAGTTTGCCTGACAGCAAACCTGGGTGGTCTGATTGTTGAAATCAAAGGAAGGCTTAGATTGTTTTACTCAGAAGGTGATGAATGGTATTCACATTTGGAGACAATGCCAGGAGTCTGAGTTCATAATGAATAAACTGAGCCTCCCAAATCCTATAATGGTAGTGTAGATATCAGACTGTAACAGTCAGATTGTAACATCAAAGATGAAAGGATGTTGGTCAGGAATAGCTAATCTGCACTCCTGTCTGAATGCAAAGTTAATGTGTTTTACATTTCCTTTGAATTCTTCTCCGTGGCAGTCATTTTTGAGATCAGGTTACAGACTTCCCTACAAATTAATGAATACCATAAATGGACTAAGATTTCCGTGTGGTCAACAGAGAGGTGAGGTTGCAGGGGTTTCAGCTCCTCAAATGGATGTAGGAGGGCAATGATCACCTGTCAGAAATGCCAGAGAAGAAGTGTCATTGGAATAAGCTTTACTGTCGATGGTGAATTTAAGAAGCTGTCAAGCCAGATGAAAGTATCTCATCACTTATGGTTACTATCTAGTGAAGTGAAGGTACAGCAACCCACTTGAAGCGAGAGCAACTGTGGGCCATTGCTGTAAGGGCAGTAATTCCACTGAGAGTGTAATGGTTATCAAAGGGCAATTTTCTTTTCTGTAATTTTAAAGTATCGTTATCCACAAAAATATAATTTTGTCACATGCTACAGTAAAAGTCTGAAAATGTGAAATCTTGAGTCAGTCTTTCAGTTAACTTCAGAAAAAAGAATTCAAAGTATTTATCAGTCTCTAATGAAATTATAATGCATTTCATGAAATTAATTCAATTGAAAAATCTTTGATCAACCTCCTGAGCTCATGCTGATTTAATATTAAACCTTAACATTCAGGTTTTTCAAGGAGATTTGTATATACACAATTCTTAAAAACACTGTTTTAATCGTATTTTTCCATTTTAGTTGCAGAATGACCAAGAGCAAGCTCCCAGTCGGGTACCAGCATTGCAAAGTTACTTCCGTCCCAATCAATTCTTGAAGAAAGTAGCAATTGGGCTCTTTGGAACTGGATTTATTTATTCCCTCATAAAACTACGTGTTCTGAGAAATTAAGCTGGAAATTAAAGTTTTCTTTGATTTTTGGTTTTACTTATTTGAAAGATTTTTGTTTCTTGGCATCAATCTGCTTATAGAAGAGTGCTACTATTTTCCAATAACTGTATTTTTGTTGAAGTTAAAACAATGGTGCCATTTAAAAGAACACTTGAATTACTGATACTGTATCTGAGATGGAAATACTTGTAAATAATTGTTGTTATTCTGAATACCACATTGTTCTTATATTAAAACAAGCTGCGTATACTCAATATATTTTCTTGCCCAGGAGGTTTTTCATACTTTTCTACATGAGCCTTCAAATGATGAGACCCCCGTGTGACACTTTTTCATTCAGAAGTTAAATCAGTGTTAGATATCAAAAAGAAAACTTGTCATTCCAAAATATTATTATTAGATTACAGCCATAAACAATATGTGCAAGTAATTCAACAGTAATTTTGATAGGCTTACAGATTTCTGGTTACAATTTGGGCATCTTTGTATCTGGGGATTAGATATAATAGAGGTAATGGACCTTTAATCAGATAGTTTAGTGTATTGTCAATAAATACTTGATACAGGGTTGTCAAATTTGATGCATCATGTTGTTCAATATGTGATAGCTGATAAAAATACCAATGACTAATTCAGATTTTTCTTAATATTGGGACCTTATTTGGTCTGGGAGGGTCAAATATAAATGTAATTGTTTTTCTAGCTATGTAAGATTGATTTATGTAACTTTCTGAAGGAATTCTCTGATGGACAAGGGGAAAGCATCTTCAGGTCCAGTTGAAGTTGTTTTCATCTTGATTATCAAAGGTAATTTTGTTAAAATACTTGGATTTCAAATACTTGGTTATAGAATATAAAAAGTGATTTCTCTGTTATCATCTTCAAGATCTCTGCCCAAGGAAGGTTCGACCACAGAGCCATGACTTCCAAAAGACTGGGTCATCAATATATATCAAGAAAAGTAGTAGCCTAAGATCATAAGATATAGAGTGAAAGTGAGCCATTTGGTCCATTATATCAGCTCTGCCATTTAATGAGATCATGGCTGACCTGATAATCCTCAACCCTACCTTCCTTTTTGCCCTCAACCCTTGATTTCCTTACTGATTAAAAATCTGTCTATCTCAGCCATGAGCATGCTTAATAACAGCCTTTACAGCTATCTACAGTAAAGAACTCCACCCTCCTGACAGTAGAAATTTCTCCTCATCTCTGTCTTAAATGGGTGAACCCTTATTCTGAGATTATGCCCTGTAGTCCTAGACTCTAATATATACGGAAACAACCTCCACACATGTACGCTGTCAAACTGAGCAATCTTGTATGTTTTAATAGGGTGGTCTCTCATTCTTCTAAAATCTGAGTACTGGCCTAAGCTACTCAACCTCTCCATACCCAGAATTGATACCAGTCTCTGAGGACAGTACTTTTTTGAAGGTTAACCTCTGTTTGAAGCATCACCCTCAGCGGTAATCTATTTCTCCAGCTGAAGTTGTCCACTGCTTTCCACAACTTGCCATTTTGTGTTCTTGCAGATATTTTCAGTCAACCTGTTCAGCTTTGTTATGATGCATAGTATACATCTGGCAAAGTTGGGACTTGAATCCAAGCTCTACAGGAGCCCCTAAATACTTCAGATTCTTCAGCTGTGTTATGACACTGGGGAAGTGGGATTGGAATCCAGCTCTACTGACTTAGTAAAAACCAAAAGAACTGTGGATGCTGTAAATCAGGAACAAAAACAAAGTTGCTGGAAAAGCTCAGCAGGTCTGGCAGCATCTGTGGAGGAGAAAACAGAGTTAACATTTCGGGTCTGGTGACCCTTCCTCAGAACTGATGGTGGCTGGGAAAATGTCCGTTTATATGCAGAAAATAGGGAGGTGGGTGGGGTAGGGAGTAAACGATAGGATAGAGCCCAAAGAGAGAGCAAGACAGTTGGACTGACAAAGGAGTTGCTAACGATCAGGCTGGGAGGGTGAATAGTTGTTAATGGGGACTGTTAGTGACTAATAACAGTGTGTGTGTAGTGGCAGGCTATGTGGTAACAAGGCCTGGTGTGTGGGGTGGGGGGCTGGGACATGGGAGAGTTTAGGCCCTAAAATTATTGAACTCAATATTGAGTCTGGAGGGCTGTAGGGTCCCCAAGCGGAAAATGAGTTGTTGTTCCTCCAGCTTGCATTGGGCTTCACTGGAACACTGTAGCAAGCTGGAGACAGAGATGTTGGCCAGGGAGCAGGGTGGTGCATTGAAGTGGGAGGCAACGGGTAGTTCAGGGTCTTTTTTGTGAGCAGAACGTAGATGTTCTGTGAACCGGTCGCCAAGTCTACGCTTCGTTTCCCCAATGTAGAGGAGACCACATTGTGAGCAGCGAATGCAGTAGACTAGATTCTTGGAAGTGCAGGTGAATTGTTGCTTCACCTGGAAGGTATGTTTGGGCCCTTGGATTCTGGGGAGGGAGGAGGTAAATGTGCAGATGTTGCACCTTTGCTGGTTACAGGAGAAGGTGCCGTAGGGCTGTGGGGAGGTGTTGGGGGTGAAGGAAGTGTGGACCAGGGTGTCCTGGAGGGAACGGTCCCTGCAGAAGGCAGACAAGGGAGGGGAGGAGAATATGTGTCTGGTGGTGGCGGAGCTGGTGTCGGATGATCTTCTGGATGTGGATGCTGGTGGGATGGTAGGTGAGGATAAGGGGAACCCTATCGCTGTTGTGGGAGGGAAGAGAAGGGGTGAGGGCAGAAGTGCGGGAGATCGGTCGGACCCGATTGAGGGCCCTGTCGACAACAGAACTGGGGAATCCTCGGTTGAGGAAGAATGTGGACATTTCGGAGACTCCCTTGTCGAAGTTCACCTCATCTGAACATATGCGACGGAGACGGAGGAACTGAGAGAATGGGATGGAGTCTTTACAGAAAGTGAGGTTTGAGGATGTATAGTCCAGATAGCTGTGGGAGTCAGTGGGTTTGTAATGGATATTAGTGGCCAGTCTATCCCCAGAAATGGAAACAGAAATGCCGAGGAAGGGAAGGGAGGAGTCAGAGATAGACCAGGTGAAAGTGAGGGCAGGGTGGAAATTGGAGGCAAAATTGATGAAGTTTTCCAATTCTAGACGAGAGAGGGAAGCAGCACCGATGATATCATTGATGTATCGGAGAAAGAGTTGTGGGTGGGGGCCGGAATAGGACTGGAACAAGGAATGTTCCACGTACCCCACAAAGAGACAGGCATAACTAGGGCCCATGCGGGTACCCATGGCAACCCCTCTTACCTGAAGAAAATGAGAGGAGTTGAAATAGAAGTTGTTGAGGGTGAGGACAAGCTCAGCCAAGTGGAGGAGAGTGGTGGTGGGTGGGGATAGTTCAGGTCTTTGCTCCAGGAAGAAGTGGAGAGCCTATGACCCTCCTGGTGGGGAATGGATGCGTAAAGGGATTGCACATCCATGGTAAAGAGGAGGTGGCTGGAGCCAGTAGACTGGAAGCTTTGAAACCGGCGTAAGGCGTCAGATGAATCATAGATGTATGTGGGTAGGGATTGGACCGGGGGGAGAAGACTGAGTCAAGGTAGGAAGAGACGAGTTCTGTGGGGCATGAGCAGGCTGAAACAATGGGTCTACCTGGACAGTCGTGTTTGTGGATTTTTGGCAGGAGGTAGAAACGAGCTGTGTGGGGTTGGGGAACTATTAGCTTGGAAGCGGATGGGGGGAGATCACCAGATGAAATGAGATCCATAACCGCAGTGGATACAATGGCCTGATGTGCCATGGTGGGGTCATGGTCCAGGGGAAGGTAGGAGGAGGTATCTGAGAGCTGGCACTCAGTCTCTGCAAGGTAGAGGTCAGTACGCCAGACAACAACAGCACCACCGTTATCGGCAGGCTTGATGACAAAGTTTACTGACTTAGTGGCAGGGACACTACCACTGTTTCACAAGAGCCCTATTGTGAGCTTGTAGATGTTATTAAACAATTTGTTCCAGCATGTTATGACACCTGGAGCAGGTGGGACTTGAAACGAGGCCTTCTGGCCCAGATGTAGGAATGCTATCAATGCACCCCAAGAGCCTATATAGTGAACTTATATGCTATTGTTAATCAGGCAGTGAATGGGAAAAAAGACAATTGGTCAGTGCTTTGTATAATTGATCCAATAGGCACACAGACTATTTTTGGGTTTGTTATTTGCAATTAGTCCCAAGAATACTCACCCTATTACATCTCTCCATAGGTGGTTCTAGATCTACTGAATGTTACCACATTTTCTGTTTTGATTATATCATTCCCCTCTCCTTGCTTAAGGCAAAGCCTAGATTATGGTGCATCTTAGATGAGACAATGGGAGGATTGAAAGTAGTTGATTCTTAATTCAACATCCCAACATTAGCGGGTTTCTAGTCCCAGAGTGTGAACTATCCTATTTCTCCATGCAATACCAAGAATAATCATTTCCACTGTTCCATATTTAGGCTCTTGCATTGACTTGGTTGTACAGTATCATTGATAGTTGCAGTGCAAAAAGACTTCACAACATTTCCACATCAACTCAATGATGGAGGTGCAAAATGCAAATTGCTTTGTAGGCATGTTACCAAGCAAAAGTTGATACTCAGCCAACTATGATATCAGGTAAGCTAACCAAAAGCTTCGTCATAGAAGTAGGTTTTAAGAAGCTCTCAAAGGAGGAAAGAAATGTAGAGAGATAGAAGTTGGGGAAGGCAGAACTCTAGAGTTTAAGGTTTAGGCAGCGGGAGTGGGGGGGTTGAAACCAGGTGTGCTGAAGTGATCTGATTGAAGAGTCAAATGTTTTGGAGGCTGTATTCCTGTTAAGTTGAAGAGGTCTAACTGTCATCACCCATTCCCATAGATGTTTACAGCACAGAATGGGGCTGGTCAGCCAAATATGTTCACACCACTCAAAAACCATTGGATTACACTAATCCCAATTCCAGCTTCAGGCCCATAGCCTGGAGAATATGGTAAAACAAGTGAATATCCAAATGTTACTTATTGGTACAAAAGTTTGAGTCAATCACACTTTCAGGCAGTGAGTTCCAGAGTCCCGCCACCAACTGAGTGAAAATATGCAACCTTCTACTTCTTACCTTAAAGTTATACCCCTTGTTATTGACCGTCATGATCTATACACCTGTACGAGGTCCCCTCTCATCCTTCACTGCTCCATGGAAAACAATCCAGTGTCTCCAATCTTTCCTTATAGCTC